CTTATTCTTAGCATGTTCAAAATAAGCAAATTCATCTCTTTAAGCCAATGTTTAATTTGGATTATTATGCCAATAAAATCTGGGTGAATAAAGATATGCAAAGTGCAAGACTGTAAATTAATGGGAAAAAAAAAACCCTTTCCCATTTAAAACAACACACACACACAATCATATGCACACACACACATACACACACCCACACACCCACACACCCAATTAAGATTCTTGGCCACGTAGATTTATAGCATTTATATATTTTGTTCCTCTGGGTGTGAAAAAGTGAAGGAGGGTGTCCCTAAGATTCTTCCTGTAAATTTTTTTCCTATATATGGAAAACATGTTTAAAATCCTGGTGGGAAGTAACTTCCTTCAGTTCAGAGAAATGGTTAGAGGGAATATTTGTTACTGTGTACTAAGAAACACCAGTCTGGAAAATTCCCACTCGGTTCTTCCCCCAGTGCTTCATAGTTCTCCCATTGGCTCATGGGCTTGCGAAGCTTCATAGTCAATATTTTCCAAAAAGGATGCCAGTCTTTCTTGTCCCTTTTTTAAAGGGTGAAAGAGAACATCGAAGCAGTACCGAAAGAGAGTCTGAACTGAATTTGGGGTTTGGGCAATAAGCCTAGATGGGCAGCCGAAACCAGAATGTTGATGTCAGGAGGAGGGGAACTCAACCTAATGGGATTTCCAAGACCCACTGTCGAAAGTTCTCAAGACAGTTATGCAGCATCCTCAATGCCGAAGTCGGTCCTTTGCAAAAGTACCCCCAAGCAAGAAAACCATCAGGTCACAGATCATTCTGAAGAATCAACACAGTGTCACAGGCTGTTGACAGGTTGACATCTAAGGGTCATGGACCAGTTTTCTTTGGGGGATGCCCTCATAGAGTGGAAGTGTTGCATCAGCAAAATGTCACTGAAAGCTGTCACCAAATACAGTAAACAAAGCAAAGCACTGCTTATTCATGCACTGATGGCCCAGTAAATCAAGAGTTCTCAATGACTGCTGACGGCTGCAACAGAATATTGTATTAAAGAAGTTTCTCGGTCCAAACACAGATACATAAAGCCCTACAGAGAATGGCAATGCCAGGATTCTTCCCAACTGTGATGTTTGGCATTTTCCTCCACGTTTTTCTTTCTTGACCTAGTTTAGCCAAACTCCTATGGCAGTACTTGTCATTTACAAGCACTGGAAAGCAGGTGTAAACAGAAAGTGACTAACAAGTGCGTGTAGCATGAAAAGACTGATACTCACTTTTGTAAGAAGGTAATCAACAATTAATGAATGGCAGCAGTGGCCTTCAGCAAAGGCTCTGAGTCAGAGGCACCAGGAATCTAGTCCTAACTCTTTCATGGACTTGAACTATGACCCTAGGATATTATTTAATGTCTCTGAGCCTCAGTTTCCTCCCCTTTAAAATGGGAACAATAATAGTGCCTATTCTATGGGATGGTAGAAAGCACTAAATTAAATGAGATAAGTGAAGCACTTAGTACAGTGTCTGGCACATAGTAAGTTATGAAAATATGTTAGCTACTTTTATAACAATAATTATTATGATTATTATCATCATTACTAGTTATAATTAGAACATGCTTTTCAAAAGTGATCACTTTGAATTTAACTTGTATGCCATCTGATCTGGAAGTATAATGAGGGTATCCAATTCCTACTGATTTAGTGAGTCAAACAGAAAACCAAAACAAATTGAATCATTCAACTGGTGTATTTAGAATTGCTGATGATTATAGCATTCAAGAAAGTTAGTGAAATACATAAATTGCAATTGAACTGTTCTTGAAAATCCCCCAAATCAGTTTTCATTTGTCTAGCCTAATGGTGGGTAGGACTTGTTCATTTTTAAAATGTATATTTAGAACCTTCTAAAAAGGAAACCTTGTGGAATGTGAACATGGAGGAGACAAAAGGTGTTAATACAAAGGGAATATGCCCAAATCATGTATGTGCCATCTTTGAAAACAAAGAAGAATGTATTGCATTCACATGTCGCTTTTTGCTTTTTGTGGAATTATCTATCACTCATTGCCATTTTATTTCATTGCATGCACGCGCGCACACGCGCACACACACACACACACACACACTCACACACGCACATGCACAAAGGGGAGGCTACAATGTACACAGTCAGCCTCTTTGTACCCAGGACTGCTTCTCTTCTAAGTCAGCTCTGCTGTTAGAGACCAGTGTGCAGATGGAGGGGAAGGTATGGTGTCAGCACCAAAGTTATGGGTCCACTCCAGAGATTTCATTCAAAGGATAATCTGATTAGCAAAATTTGAGACAGGCCGGTATATGCATTCTTTTATCATCTAATTCAAAAAACTCCACAACACAACTTGGATGAAATCGCCAGTATCAAAGGTCCTAATGTAGCATAATTTGTGTTGAGCATGCTGCATTGTGACAGTGCTATAAACCAGTGAGACAGTTTACTGACAATTCTGTGCTACCAGATACCAACTCAGGCCTCTGTCCAGCTTTACATTGTCAACTCTTGTGGAAACATGAGCAGTTACACAGCCTCAGAGGACGCTGAAGTCTGGATTGCAAAAGATGAGATGGACAGATTTCATATTTTCATTGCAGATTTTTTTTTTGCCTTTTCAAACTGCTGAGCATAATTTTTTTTAAAGGCAGGAAATGCAACTAGTGTTTGTTTCTAGCATGGCTTCTGTTTTGAGATTTCTTCTTTGTAGAAGAAATGTGTTGCCCAGCTGTCTAGAATCCCAATCAGGATATGGCTTCAGTATGAAATATATTAAAAGAATGATTTTAGCTGGTTATAAGCAGGAACGAAAATGAGGCTGGGCCTATTTTATCCAGTTTTTACTCACAGAGGGGGCATTCTGGTTCAGTCCAGTGGGGCCAATAGGAATAGATGAAGTAAAGCTAAGTTCTGGGGGGAGGGGGTTGCTTTATTTTTTACTTTTTTGTAATTATTTTGTTTGTTTTTGTTTCTGTTTTTGCCTTGGAAGGAAGAGTAATTGTGAAACATAAAGGTTCATATAGTGAGCAAAAAGAGCTGAGGAGATTCTCAGTTATAAAGATTCTCAGAAATAAAAATCATGTGTCCACTGGCTAGAAGTATTGCAGTCAACACTTAAAAGGGTAGTTCAACCCAAATTAAACTGTTGGAGGATTTAATGCTTCTCAGTATTAATATTTTTCCTATTTGCAACACACACACATTATTCAACAAATATTAATTAAAACCTCTGTTTATGCACACCCTAGGGCTACTGTTGGTTAATGGGGTAAGAGACAAAGATGATTCCAGTCCTACCTTTTAAGATGTACAGAGATTGTTGCAGAGACAGATATTTCAACCAGTATTCTATCCTTAACCAACTTAAGATGTTTTAGTCTGCTTGTTTTCTAGAATATTTCCTATTTTTTATTTTTATTTTTTAAAATTCATAGTTTTTTAAAGAAAAGTTTCAGGTTTACAGAAAAACTGAATGGAAAATATAGAGTTCCCATATACCCCTTCAACCCCCTACGCCAACACACAATTCCCCTATTTTTAACATTTTTTATTAGTGTGGTACATTTGTTACAATTGATGAACCAATATTGATACATTGTTATTAACTAAAGTCTATAGTTTACATTAAGGTTCACTCTTAGTGTTGTGTATTACATAGATTTGACAAATGTATACTGACATTTATCCACCATTATAATATCAAACAGAATAGTTACATGGCCCTAAAAATCCCCTGTGCTTATTGATTCATCCCCATCTCCCCCCAGATCCTTTGCTACCACTGATCTTTTACTGTCTCCATAGTTTTCCCTTTTCCAGAACGTCATAGTTTTGGAATGATACAGTACAAAGCCTTTTCAAGCTGGCTTCTTTCACTTAGCAATATACATTTAAGAGTCCTCCAAGTCTTTTGGTAACTTGAGAGCTCACTTCTTTTTATCACTGAATAATATTCCATTATATGTATGGGCCACAGTTTTTTTTACCCATTTACCTATTGATAGACATCTTGGCTGCTTTCAAGCTTTATCAATTATGAATAAAGTGGCTGGAAATATTTGTGCACAGGTTTTCGTGTGAACACAATCAAGGAGCAATTGCTGGATAGTATGGTATAAATATGTTTTCCTAAGAACCTACCAAACTCTTTGAAAGTTCCAGTACCATTCTGCATTTCAACCAGCAGAGGATGGGAATTCCTTGTTGCTCCACATCCTTGTCAGCATTTGCGGCTGCCAGTGGCTTAGCTTTTGGCCATCCTAATAGGTGTTTAGTAGTATCGCGTTATTGTTTTTCATTTGTTTGTTTGTTTGTTTTTATAAGATTTTATTTATTTATTTGACAGAGAGAGACACAGCGAGAGAGGGAACACAAGCAGGGGGAGTGGGAGAGGGAGAAGCAGGCTTCCCGCTGAGCAGGGAGCCCGATGCGGGGCTCGATCCCAGGACCGTGGGATCATGACCTGAGCCTAAGGCAGACGCTTCATGACTGGGCCACCCAGGTGCCCCTCGCATTATTGTTTTAATTTGTAATTCTTTGATGATATATGTATTTCCTAATTTTTAATTCTCTTACCTATTACATATTTTTCTAACATCTGTGATTTTGACCTTTATGTTTCAATCATTCATTTATTCAATTATTTATCCACATGCATTCAGTGTCTACTATATGCCAGTAACACTTTTCAAAGCTAGGCTATTTTTCTTTCTTTTACCCTCTTATTATTCTTTTTTCATTTTCAGTTTGTCATATTCCACTAATTATTTATTTCACATAAACTGTTAGTTTGTTCCTCTCTCTAGTCTATTAATCTCCAAGTAAACTGGCTATCTCTTACTTCTCTGGTGATAATTGTTTCATTTCTTCAACTTTCTCTTGTTCCCTTCAAAACTTTCATCATTATAGATTCATAATTCATACAGCACAGAGTCTGTATTGCTAGAGATGAAACTACTGAAAAAAATGAAGTGAAGAAATCACTTACCTTGGTTGACAATAAATCTTAACTTCTGTATTGTTGCCAGATTGCCACTAACTCGGTATATTCCATCAACATCGAGACCTGAAAATAAAAGGGCATGTTTTATATTTGCTCATAAAAGAACTGAGAGGGTAAAAGCAAAAAAATTAAATGTGGGAAGGAAGGTAATAGTAAATCAATGCCAAATATCCCTTCCTCATAGAGAAGACAAATTTCTATGTTCTAAACCAAGCAATCTTCAATAGTTTAATTTCAACAAACTAATCATAAATTCAGTCATAGTCAATCATCAACAAATTTGAATCTAGTTTAATCATAGAAGAGTAATAGGTAGCATTGGATTTCACACTATAGTTAAGATTTAGTCCCAACACAGGAATTAAACTGGTGGTAGGTAGGAGAAAAACCTTCACTTATATATTATTGCCCCTTTCTGGACAGAAAACAACCCAAGGCATCTGTGGGATCTCCTTCCTTCCTACTTTCCTCCTTCCCTCCCTCCTTTCCTTTCTTATTCTATTCTATTCTATTCTATTCTATTCTATTCTATTCTATTCTATTCTATTCTATTCTATT